GCTGCCGCTGCCGCCGCTGCTGCTGCCGCTGCCGCTGCTGCTGCTGCTGCTGCTGCTGCCGCCGCTGCTGCTGCTGCTGCTGCTGCTGCTGCTGCTGCTGCTGCTGCTGCTGCTGCTGCTGCTGCTGCTGCTCCTCGTGTTGCCATTGGTGGTGCTTGTGAGGGTAACGTCCAGCGGAGCCCCAAACCTGCATGCCTGCGCTGGCCATTGCAAGCTAGAACACTTCCACCCCACAAACCTCCCCCAAACCTTCTCAATCCTCCCCAAACAACGCCCAGGCCCCGAGGTCGCGTTCCCTCCGATCCCCTCGTTCAGCCCAGAGCTCTTCAGCTACATGCGCTGCGCCCCCAACCAGCGCAAGGCGTTTGCAAAGGGCGTAGACGCGCTGCTGGGGGAGGGAGCCGTGCAGGTGCGGTCGCAGCTCTGCGCGTGCCGTGGCGGCGGCGCGGCGCCTGCGCTGCGGGCAGGCCGCACGCCTGGGCGGGGGTTGCTGGTGGTCGTGTTGGAAGTGACACCCGCTCGCGAGTGCGATATGCGTGTATGCGCGCGCCATGCAGCTCGCGTGCATGCCGTGCGCCACACTGCGGCTTGTTGCTTGCGACAGCAATGGTTGCAGGCTCATGTGCAGCCCTTCAACTAAAGTCCACTAGTCTGCTCTTGCCCATCCAAGCCAGCAAGCAAACGCCTGTTGCCATGCCCGGCCGCAATTGCAGCGGCCAACTGCCAACCGCCCAACGGTCACCAACCGCCGCGTGCAGGTGCTGTACTCGACAGATGAGTACAAGCAGGACCCCATCCTGGCAGCTGTCGGGCAGCTGCAGTTCGAGGTGGTTCAGTTCAGGATGAAGGACGAGTACGGTGAGTCATAATCACTAGTGACGACATGGTCACTGCTGTGCGGGTTGGGATGGGGGTGACAGGGGTGGCACGGCCTGGCGGGCGTTGTTGGGTGCGAAGGGAGCCGGACACGATTTCGCGGGCAGGAGCCACGCCACGGGTCCAGGCAGCCAAAAGGGCGGTCTTTGCGCATCGCAGAAGTTGGCTTGTTAATGTTCACTGCCATGCCGCGTGTCCATCCTGCTCCTGCAACCCATGCCCACGCCTGCCCGTCTTCAATCTTTCGCGCTGCGTCGCCGCGATCCCCGCGCTGCAGGCGTGGACACGACGCTCGAGCCGATGCCGTACGCCATCGCCCGCTGGGTCCGCGCCGGCTGGCCGGCCGTCGAGGCGGCGGGGCGGCTGTTCAACACGCTCACGGTCAAGGACATGTGGGGGCGGCCGGTGCTGCTGTTCCGCAACGCGTTTGCGCTCAGCCAGGTGGAGGCTGAGCAGGGGGAGAAGCTGGGGGAGCTCAGCCCCTTCGCGCTGCCGCCAGACAGCTGATCGCAGACGTGTAATCCGTGCACCATGAGTCTAGGAAGTGTTGACAAATGCTGGGTGGGGGGCCGGTCAGCAGCGGCAGACTGCGGACGGCGCGGGGGTGGCTTCCGTGCTGGCCTGGCGCATTGTCACCCGACGGGGTGACGACAAAGCAGGCAGTCGAGGGGCTGTGAATGGAAGTGCTTGGAGCCTGCACGAGACTGAAAGAAAGGAAAGCATCATCAGGCGTAGCTCAGCCCCCGGAGTGTGCTCGTGTACGTGGCTGACGGTCACGAGGTGATCACACGCCGCTGGTCAGCGATCGGGCCAAATAGGGGCATTCTCAGGTTGCTTTCGAGTGCACTGGGCTATCATAGAGCTTGGAGCAGACGTGCAGACAGCCCTAGCAACGGTCGTGCGACATCGACGGTATCTCTCGCAGCCTAAGCTGGCATATCGCATGGACAGGAAACTTAGAGCTGCCAAAGGAGTTTGTTTGCAAACTCTGCGACCTCTGATGCAGCCGCGCCCTCGCACTCGCCGCATCACTCGCTCGATGTACCCCGCCAGCAATCGCTGCATCGCCGCCTGCCTGCGGCGGCGGCAGCGGCGGCCATGCCGCTGCGCACCCTGAAGTATCTGGTGGTGGACGATATTCTTGCTGACGTGCCGGATGGCTCGCCAGAGGTGTGGCTGGGTGGGCCATCTCCGCGCAGCCATGCCGCGCATCCAGGCATGGCAGATAGTTCCAACGGACATACCCGCGCGCGTCGCGCTCGATATTGCACGACACCGCCCGGATGCCGCTCCTTGCAAGCGACTGCACGTATGTAGCAGTTCATATCAAGCATGATCCAGGCGCTCCCTGCCGGCGCACCCGCCGCGCGCACTCGCTCCCGAACGTGCCCCGGCCCAGACGGCCGCAAGCCCGTGTCCGTGCCTTCTCACTGCATGCGATCTGCACCGCATGACGTAATCCCACCCCTCCCTCAGATTGATGCTGACGTGACGACGGCCGATGACGTGGCCGCGGCGCTCGCAAAAGCCCCGGGTATGCCGCCCGCCTCAGACCTCTATTTGCAGGCAAGTCGAGGCGGGCGCGTGGATGGTGCTGTTTTGGGTGGCCGGCTCGGGTTTGAACATTTGATCCTCTGTCACTGTCAAGGTTCCAGGGGGTGATCCTTGCGCCTGGCTGACTGCAAGGAGGTATCGCAAATCAAACGTTCAAAGTCTCAAAAACCATCATTTCAGCGTGGTTCAGAGCAGCGGCCGCCCGAAGCCAACCCGCCGCCGCCGCTCCACCACCCCCCCCCCAGACGCTCCGCCCCGACGGGACAAAGCGGTGGCAGCCGCTGTCCGCCGTGAGCGGCCTGCCCCCAGACGGCCTCTTGGCTGTCAAGGTCGTCCGCGCCGCCCAGCAGGGCGCAACCTACTCATCTGCCCGCCCCTCCGCGCCGCCCGGCCCCGCCGGCTTCGAAGCAGAGGGCGCCGCCGGCGCTGGCGCCGCGGCGGCGGGCGCGTTTCTGGCGGGGGCAGCGGCGGCGGCGGCGGCGCCAGCTGGCGGCATGCAGTACCCGCCGCCGGGGGCGGCGACAGGGGAAGCTGAGGAGAAGCTGTCCAAGGCAGCGTCCGCGGAGGGGGCCGCGGCGGCGGCGGCGGCGGCTGGCGGCGGCGGCGGCGAGCAGTTTTATTACGGGGCACGGGTCGCGCCCAGCGCTGCCCCGCCGCCCGCAGCGGCGGGCGCGCTGCCAGCGCTGGCGCAGCAGCAGCAGCAGCAGCAGCAGCAGGCCGCTGCCGCCGGCGGCGGCGGCGGGCTAGGGGGACTGCTCGGCGGGCTGTCTGGCGCCATGGGCGGCGGTGGCGG